GGCCTAAAAGTCCGGGAAAAAAGGCCTCAAAGCAAATTTCAGTGCCTACTCATATTTTACATTGGGCCTCAAACTGGGCCCACTCTGCCGTTTTTTAATTACTGATCCAGAAGTCCAGGACAATCATCTTGAGACTTGGCTTGTAGGCCCTTCTCTGCCGTCCTAGGCCGCCATGACACAGTCAATTCCGTTCTAGGAATTTCCTCCTCCATGTATCTCCGCCGTCGATCTTCAATAATTTTCTATTATGATTCGGAGTTTGGGAATTTTGAAGAATCTTCATAATGTTTGACGCAATCTCCAAGCTATTGCTGGTGAACTCGGTGGAGATATGCAAAGCATTTTCTAAATCACCGGACAGAACCGTCTGAGACTGATTCGTAGCCACCTTCTCCAGGCCATCCAAGCACGTTTTCTGACCCGTAACGGCGGCGCTTAGCCACACCCTGATGTTGTTGACCTTGTCCATCGACAACATCACCTCCCCCTGATCCCCTTGCAAAGAAGCAATGGATTCGTTGACATGACCTATGGCATCATTCATAATGATTTCACAATAATTCAATGCCCTTTGCACTAGAGGGTCACTGCTCAAATTCCCATAGGCTTTTGAGAAAAGAATAGAGGACAGATTCACTAACTCGTTAAGAGAAACCTGCATGAATTATCACCGATAAGAGTTTAGTTGGATTAGTATTCATTAATTTTAAAATTAATTTTACTATAGTTAAGTGAAAAAAAAGAAAAAGGGAAAAAAAGAAACCTGCATGGATAACTTGAAGAAATGTTTAGGATCGGAATTATTGGAGGAGTTCTGGAGAGAAGATATGCTAGAAATACAGGAATAAGGGTAGGGAGTCATGGTGGCACACATCTCTTGGATGGACTGGGCTGATGAGAAATTTGAAACTTCTGATGGAGGAGGCGGCGGCGTCGTCTTCGTCGGTAAAAACATCCCCAACGCCGCACCGATGATGACTACAATCAAAACGAAGGTGGAGATTCCGATGATGATCAAACGCTTGCGGGTCTGTTTTCTGTATTCCTTGTCATCGAGCTCATGATTTACCTCAGCGTTTTTGGTATTAAAATCCATGACTGTTTTTTTCTTGTAATGTTAGTGTATATATATATATATATATCTAGTTTAAGAAGGGATTATCTGACTTTGACTAATTCTATTCATTAGTCTGAATTAAATAAACCCCGCTTACATCATCGAGGACTATTAATTAAATTAATGAAATTTTACCAGTCAAACGATTATGATCGTAAACTAGCCTC